ACAATCCCCTGTTCTCTTAACTTCTGTCAGGTACTTGTCACAGCAATGACTGAAGTAACTAATTCAACAGTCCAACCATTGAATGATACAATGATCATACCAAGCAAATTACTTCACTGTGGTTTTAGGAGTCCAAGAAAGCCCTCTTGAACCCCAACCTTCCTATATATCTTCACATCCCATTAATTAAAGATGGTGCCTTCACTCCAAGTTTCAAAATAAGGCCCACCATGTAAACTTGCCTCTAAGAAAGGTGTCGTTCTGTGTGATGGTTAATTTTAATCATCAATTGATACAACCTAGAATCATCTGGGGAAGAGAGTCTCAGTAAGAGATTATATGCAGGGGTCTGTGTGTATGTCTGTTGGGGATAGGCTGAACTACATTCATCAATGTGGGAAGACCCAGCTCACTCTGGGCAGCATCATTCCCCAGGCAGATGGTTTCAGAACAGTGTAAAAGTAGAGAAAGCAAGCAGAGAATGAAGGACTAAGCGAGTGAGCATGTGTACACCCATTGCGCTCGGCTCTTAACTGGATATGACATGATTGTCTTTTTGAAGTTCCTGACTTGATTTCCCAACCATGTTGGCCTATAACCTGGAATTATATGGTTAAATAAAACCCTTTCATCCCTTAGTTGCATTTTTGCCTGGGTATTTTATCACAGCAACACCAATGAAACTAGAATAGGCCATCCAGCCAAACCAATAGTGGTATTGGTATTTGTTCTTTGTTTCAGAACCAGGGGTCAAACCTAGGTCCTTACAAACCTTAGGCAAGTGATCCACCCCAGGGCCATAATACCAGCTCCTTCCCTTCTTGGGGGTTTTTTAAAGCGTCTCACTGTAGTGCACTGTAGTGTAATGCTGGCCTGGAGATATATACATATCACAAGCTGGCTAATCCTCCTGAGTACTGATATTCCAGATGTGTGCCACCATGCCAGGCATCCAAGACTTAAGTAGCATCCTGACTACACCAGAAAGAGAGCATCCAGGAAGCAGGTTGAGAGGACTCACATCCACTCCTGAGGCTGCCCCAGTTTCACTCAGAACTGAACATAGCAGAATGCTCTCCCCACCAAACAAAGTCACTGCTGGCTCACTCACCCCTCTCACTCTAGTGTGAAGATCTAGGCTGAGCATTCTGATTAGAAACGCATGGCTGGGACCAGCACGGATGCAAAAGAGGGCATTAGAGGGGCGAGAGTGCGTCTCTCTCACAGGAAACCTGCTGACATAGGGATGCTTCAGTCTTTCTACAGAAATGCTGCCTTCCGAGGACAGAATTCCAGTCACAATCAAGCTAATTGAATGCACAAATGTAACATTTTTCCCCTGGGCACCTCCAACTTAACACCCAACACGATGGCATCTTTCGAATATATTTACAAAAGCCTTTCTTCACCCAGTAACATCGGTTCAGATTGCTTATAGATGCTGAGATAGCAAGTCACCCTTCTAACGTAATGAGATAAGTCATCTCTATAAACTTTGCTTGCTCAAACATACTGGAGTGAAAGAAATCAGGCCCCAAGCTTTTCTCAATAAATAGAATGAACAGCGAGGACGTGATGGCTGTAGCATGTTCTGCCTCATTGCTGTGAGATGTTTCAAATTTCTCCCTTTCCTCTTTCCCTTTCCCTCTCCTCTCCTTCAGGCTGTCCCCCTCCCCCCATTTCTCCCTGGCACCGGAGTTTTCATTGATAGAAAAAGGAGGCAAAAGAAACAAGCCATTGATCAAACCCTGAGGAGAAGCCACAACACTGGAGTCCTTGGAAGGCTCAAGATTGATCTAAAGGATTTTTGTCCTCAGATCATTTTTCTTCCTAAATGTAACTAGCTACTTTGTAAGCCTGGTCTCCCCTGCTTTACCACTCGCTACTAATAATTTTCATGCTGGAAACTTCATCTTCTGATGAAGATTCTTACACATTGTCATTTGTCCATTGTCTAGTGATCAAGCCAAGGGGATGTGGGACCTTCAGGGTCTTCCCACCAGCTTCCGGTTAACATTTCCCTCTTACATTTTACTTATCTTATTATTTTATTTAATTTTTAGCCCAGACTTGTCTTGGTCTCCATGAAGCTGAGGATAATCTTGAACCTCCAATCCTCCAGGTCCCACCTCCTAAGTGCTGCCATAATAGATATGCACAACCACGCCCAATGTTCGAAGTCCTAGGAATCAAGCTGGGGCTTCATGCATGCTAGGTCAATTACCTACCAGCTGAGGGCCATCCCTTACCTTGCTTTCTTCTTCTTACTGTGGAACCCTACTTCCAAAACAAACAAACAAACAAACAAACAACAAACTCTAACAGACCGTTTCATTTCTTACATGCTCTGGGAAGTACAGTATAGACTTGTCATGTCTGAATACTCAGGTTGTACACAACTACATACCTGGGTGAAGTAGACACATCTAAATGGATTTCAATGTGCAAAGCATGTTAATTTGTGCCACATGACTGCCCTGATTCACCAGGTCAGGGGGAAAAAACTTCCTGTACACTGTCAGAATGTAGCACATTCCATGGTCACATGGCACATTCTACAGCCTTTTATGCCTCAAATAATAAAATTAAACTTTTTCTTATGGTCAGTTGACAAAATACTAAAACCTACCTGACATCTTTCTCTGTCTCTTTGCAAAATGAAGTTGTTTGAGACTGTGCCAGTCTCCAGATGGTGACCTTTGCTTCAAGGGAGGCTTGGGATACATTGACTGAGGAGAACAGGCTGGAATCTGGACGACATTGAGATTGAACTCCAACAGCCTTGGGATTTTGAAAGACACAGGACAACCAAAGCTCACAAAAGAAGGCAGCAAGCAGGTTTTGACCAGTTTTCAAGAGTCTTTCCTCATCAGCTTACCTTTTGAAGTTTCCCTCATACCTGTGGGAAGGTCAGGCCAGCAGGTAAGAGGCCAGGCTCTTCTGGTCCCTTTGAGTTTGGCCTTGTCTTCATTCTGCTGCCTCACCCTCCTCCACCCTGCGCCTGGAGGCTCATTTTCTGGAGAGAGTAGAGCAAGTGCACACTTGGGCAGAAACACCAGCCTGGCAGCTTCTGCCTGGCCCTCTCAACTCGAAGTTCAGCACAGTAATTTGGGGTTAAAGAGAGAGGTCCCACTTCTTATGCAATTCCTTGAACTCTGGCCCCACGCACACAGATAAGTGGATTTGGGGATTCGGAGCACTGATTCTAATATGCTGGGAGATTATTTGATCAAACAGCCTAGGTTTGTGCAACCCGTTATTGGAAAGACATCTTAGTAGCATTATGGTGCATTATGGGCCCTTCATGATCCAGGAGCCACACTCTATCTGAATTTCCATCTCAAGTTTGCCCAAGGGTCATCATAGCAAGGTAGTCAGCTCACAGCCACATTCAACACTGCTGCTGCTGTCCTGGCTTTAACTGCATTTGACTTTCCATATTTCCAGACTCCTAGCGTCTGCCTGGGCATATCTCACATACGTGTTCTGTGCCTGGTTAACGCCTGCAGACTATTGAGCGCAATCTTTGTCAGACAAGTGTCTCCTGACAGAAAAGTGTAGTGATGGGCTTGGGAGGGGTCCCTCCTTCTGCTTGGGGACAGTACTGATATAAGCTGCTGTCAACAGGACCCAGAGCCAGCACACATACTTACCTTACACAGCCCACTCATGCAAGGACCTGCCAGAGACTAGGGGAGCCTAGGAAGGCCACTGGCTGGCCAGACAGAAGAGCCAGGTCACACTGAATCCTCATTGCGTTACAATTGTGTGGCAAGGCCAAGTCTAAATAAAGCCATTTTATTTGCTTTTGGTTCACTCAAAAATCTGGAGAGATGGCTCAGAGGTTAAGAGCACATACTGCTTTCGCTGAGGTTCTGAGTTCAGTTTCTAGTGCCTGAGTGTGAGCCATCCCTCACAATTGCCTGTAACTCCAGTCCAGGGGATCTGATGCCCTCTTGTGGTCACTTCAGGTACCCACACTCATGTGCACATACATACACACAGTGCACACATGTAATTAAAAATAAAAATAAATCTCTCAAAGGTAGCAAAAACCAAATCTGTAAACCCACCACAACAACCAAAAAACCCACAAAATATCCCATCCTACCTCAGACTTCTTCCTAGTTTGTGGCCACTTCAGATACTCGCTTTCATCTAGCTTACCCACAGAAGAATCCCTGGGATCTTGCCCCCTGGCCCTCTCACCTATAGGCAAGTGGAGTGATCCAAAAGAAACTTCCATTGGAGTGCAGGTGCTCTTTTCCCATCAGAAGTGGGTGCTGAGCTTAAGAAATACAGAGTGACTGACATGGTGAATTTTTTTTTTCTTTTGTATGGTGCTAGGGATGTGTATGTGTGTATTATAGGACACTGTCTTACAAACATGGTGGGACCTTTGCCCACTTGAAATCTCAGTAGCTGTGATACCCACTCAGTAACGCATCATGAAGCAAGGAGGGGCTTGTGAGACCCCTTCCCCAAGGGCGTACACATCATTAGTGGGTTACTGCATGGGTGTGGGAAGAAAGGTATTCTACCCCCATTTGAGGATTCATAAGACAAATACTTGCTGGGAGAGACAGGGACATTTTCTTCAGTGATGAACTCTCCCATGCTCCTTTGCATAACCCTTGACCCAGGTCCTCTTAAGTAGCTCTAAGTAAGCTCATTTGCTCACCAAGCTAGACTGGGATAGAATCATCTCTTTGGTGTGTTGTCGGTGTTCATCTCAGCGAATAAAACATTTGTTGTCCCCAAGGAGAAGTACACACAGACCCAGATGAGTGCTACCGTCCTTGCCTAAGAAGTAAAATTTGAACTGTATATAATTTAAATCCACTCTTCCTCTTTAAAAGTCACATCTGGATAGTGACTACTGAGGAAAGCGCCCAGTTCTAGAACTCTTTTCCTCTAGGAACAACCTCCATGGTGAACAATCAAATCCCAAACATGTCTGCTTTCTGAACAATGGCTTGAAAGCAAAGGCAACAGCATTCTTGTTTCTAAAGTAAAAACGGTTTATTCATGACACAGTACATAAGAGCAAGTGTCTTGTGTCTCAGACAGTAGGTCCAACTCCCTGGAATGATCATTTCTTTGGCATGAAGGAGAAAGTGAGGGGAAAGCCAGGCAAAGGCAGCTAAGATGGGGAATGGGTCAGCAGCTCTATCATCATCTTCACAGGGAGGAGGGAGGAGCTCAGGGGTCCATTAGTGACAAGCTGATTCTCTAGAACATTAGGCTGAGGCACAGGCAGGGCCACTTCTGGGCAATCCACTGTGCTGAGCCCTTCAGTCATCTCCACCACACAGGTACAGCAGTGCCTTCTGGTAGTCACCCTTGGTGTCTTGCTGCAGTGGCCAGAAATTAAAAAAAAAAAAAAAACAAAAAACAATTGTAGTGTCAGGAAAAAAAATAGATTCCACAGCAACCCGTCATAGCCTTGGTGTCCCCTGGGGATTTGCAGGGCTGCACAGTGGACCACGGCCCTGGCCCTTTCCCACAGTAGGAAATGGTACTTCTCCTGTCATGACTGTGAGGACAAAGAATGCATCCCACACTGCAGGTCTTGCAGCGGCTTCTGCAGCACGTCTGCTTTCCTCCTGCACCTGCGCCTTCTGCACAGGACACAGAGGGACCTCCCTGTCCTCCCTTCTGCACAGGACACAGAGGGACCTCCCTGTCCTCCCTTCTGCACAGGACACAGAGGGACCTCCCTGTCCTCCCTCCCTGTCCTCCCTTCTGTAGTTTTGTGGGTTTCAAGCATGCATGAAAATAACTAGTAAAGTGAAGAGCTTAGCTGTCCCTGGCTTTAATCATGTGTCCTAAGGAGTATGGCTGCACTGACCACACACGCACACGCACACGCACACACAGACACACACACACACGCACACACACACAGCTGTCTTTGGTGACCATAGACCAAGATTGATATGGAAATGTCAGGATCTTTTAGGAAGGGAAATTGCAGCCTTGTCTGGTACTGCACATCCATAAGCTTAGCTAAGTAGGAGGATGAGGCAGGAGGATCACAAGTTCAAGGCTAGCTCAGACATCTTAGCGAGAACCCTTCTCAAACTAAAAAAGGAGGTGTTGGGGAAAGAGTTTAATCTGCAAAGTGCTTTCCACCCAAGCATGGGGACCTGAGTTCAATCCCCCACTTTAAGCAGCCAGGGCTGGTGATGCACAGGGCTGGTGATACCCACACTGAGAAGCAGAGACAGGAGGGTCTCTGGGGTTCACTAGCCAGCCGGCCTCACTTACTCACTGAGCCCCGAGTCTCAGTGAGAAATTCTGTATCAACAAACAAGGTGGGCAGTTCCTGAGGAATGACTCCAGAGGTCGACTACTGGCCTTCGCACGCACATGCACACCCAGACAACACACATATACCCTCCGCTTCCAACAAGTATAAAAAGCTGCGGAAGCTAGCTCAGTGGTGGAGGGCTTACTTAGCATACACAAGGCCTAGGCTCCATTCCCAGAATAAAACCCATGGGAGCTGAGGACAGTAGTAACACTGGAAATGCTCCATCCTTCCAAAATGCACACGCACTAAGCTCACTGAAGAGGTGGATTGGTGAGAGACAAATTGTTAGGCCTTTCTGAGGATCTTCAAGAAGCAGGAGTATCATAGAATACAAAATGCCTTTGAACTTGAAAGTCTCTCCAATTGTCACCAAGTCTTGCAGGATCATCACTATAAACAGCAATGACCACTACAGAGTGACACTTTTGGTAAATGTACAATCCTGCTTTGAACCTACAGAGTCTATGACAAGTCATTTAGATTGCTTTCAATATAAATTCCTGATTTTTGGTGCCCAGCTGTTCTCTCCAGCCACCTGCATACACATACACCCACACACTCACACATGCACACCACACATGCACACACACATGCACACACTGCACACATGCATGTACACACACATATATACACCTACATAGTCATACACACGCACATGCACACACCATGCCTGGCAGAGCCAGCTCCATGCCACAGGCTTTACCTGGATGTAGTAGTACAGGGACTTGCCATATTTCTTCTTGAATTCAGATCTGATTTTCAGCATGTCCACTTCACTGCGAGAGACCATGATTCTAATCAGCACCTTGTCTCGAGTCCCCTTGCCCTGAAAGTCAAAGTTAAGTTCCTTGATACTGTTATCATTTCAAAGCATCCAACACATTTTTTTCTGGCTCTTACATGTGTGTGGTTTTTTAAAGATTGATTTCTGCTTTTTAAAAATGTGTGTGTGTGTGTGTGTGTGTGTGTGTGTGTGTGTGTGTGTGTGTAGGGGAGCTCTCTGGAGTCCAGAAGAGAATGTAAGAGCCCCTGAAGCTGAAGTTCCAGACGGTTGTGAGTTGTCCAACCTAAAGCTCGGAGCCAAAGCCAGGATTTCTACAAGAGCAGCTTCCTTAATGCCCGCGCCGTCCCTCCAGCCCCACTTAGGTGCCTCTTGATGCTGTTATCTTACAAGACTTAACAAAGGCGAGCACCTTAGATTTCCTAGCACATCTGCATTTTTAAAGATTTATTTTAAAATTTCTAAGTGTGTGTATGGGGGAGCCTATAGGTGTGCATGCAGCTGCACACAGAGGCCAGAAGAGGGCATCAGATCCCCTGTAGCTGGAGTTTCAGGAGCTATGAAGGATTCAAAATGCTGAGAAGTAAAGGAGCCTCTGCAGGAGCAGCATGTGCTCTTAACTGCCGAGCGCCTCCCCAGTCAGCTCTGCGGTTCTGACCGTCGCCCTGCAAGTTTGCATACGCAGCAAAGGGCTGGTGGACACTTGAAGGATGCAGAGAGGATGGGCCAGCATGCTGTTTTTATGACTCTGTGAATGCATATAATAGCCTGCACTAAGGAAATTATCTGTGACAAGGAGCCCGAGGCGAGCAGGGTTGGCATGGACAAGGGAGGTGCTCCAGAGAAGAGAGCAAAGGCCCAGAAAGCAAAACAGTCCTGGCAGGACAAGAACTAGAAACAGGCTGGTCTGGGGCAGTTCTCGCAAGAAGAACACCCAGCTATGCATCTGCCATGAGACAGCAAGCTGGCCTTGGTTCCAGGAGCTCTGCCTTCTTTCTTTATCAAGAAGATAAATATGGAAGCCCTGCAGGGTTTCCTGCCAGGACTTAAGGGAGGGGACTGAAAAGCTGTTATATAGTACCTGCTGATCGTCACTCACATCCTGTTTGTTTTTATCCTGGGAATGATAGGAGGCCATAGCTGAAACCCCCAGCAGAAATCAGACACCGTTGTCACCTATCCCTTTCCCACCAGTGACGCTTTATTCTGGAACTGCATCACAGCTGAGAGAAGATGGTGCTTTCTCACCTGCCAAATACAATCTCAGCTAGCTAGTGGGAACCCATCCTCTAAACCAGTGCTTACCAGCCTGTGGGTCTCAGCCCTTCTGGGTTACATACCAGATCTCCTGCATATCAGATATTTACACCACAATTCATAGCAGTAGCAAAAGTCCAGTTCTGAAGTAGCAGTGAAATAATGTTATGGTTGGGGGTCACCACAACATGAGGAACTGGATTAAAGGGTCGTAGCATTAGGAAGGTTGAGGACCACTGCTCTAAATACTAGTCAGGAAGATTCAGTTTGAGCCAAAACAGAAAAGGAGCCGAGTGGGAATGGAGCCTCTGGCCAGCAGTCCTTACCTTCATGGAGTCATACAGCCGGTCAGCAAAGTACAGGGGCTTGTTCTGTATGCACTGGACTGTGGAAAGGAGACACAGGTCAGGGGTGAGCCTGCTTGCCTGTCTTACAATGAGGAAGGTGATGCCTTGGCCCTAAGACACTGACCAGCATGGGCCTGTCCCACGGATGAAGGATGTAGAAGGCTAAGGAAAACTCATTATCTTGTGAACCAGTAGGTTCCACCCACTGTGGTATCTTCAATCATGAGATACAGAGGTCAGTGATGACCAGGTGTGCATGTGATCTTCCCCTTGAAGCAAACACACAGCCATGCACTCCTCCCATTTCTGTCCTCTCTGCCAGGAAGGAGTGGCCACACTTGCTCACCCAGGTTCAGGAAAGCGTTCTCCAGGTCTCCTTTGACCTCTTTCTTGATGCTCTCCAGCATGTCATAAGGGCTGTAGCTCTTGTACCTTTCAAACACTAAGAAAAGCAACAAATAATATCAGAAGTGCTAGTCAAAGCTGCAGGGATGACCTACATAATTAGATGCTTTGACGAACAACAGCAACAACAAAAACAAAAAACTAACAACTGATCATAACAAGTGATCATAAAGGTGATCACTTATGCTTCCCAGGAGTTGGTGGTCATCTAGGGGTTGGTGGACATCTAGGGGTTGGTGGACATCTAGGGGT